GAGCAATTAAACAACAGAATAATAGACTCCGTTGAAATGTATGATGAAGCTTAACTGTAATTGATCGCATAGAAATTGACTTGCCCGAAGATGAAACTACCAAATTCCGTCAATCTAGGGAAGCCCATTGGATTGAGACATTGAATACAGCAAGACCTATAGGACTAAATATTCACCATAATGTAGGCATATCACCTTTTGTTGTCCAGTACAACCAGCAATCGAGCAAGCAAGATAGTTCATGCCCACTATAAGAGCCTTCAAAATAAATTCCCCTATGTCTATAAGCAGAAAATGATAGTTGCATATTCAAAAAATAAGAACTTAAAATGATAATATTGTTCATAGTAAACTAAAAACAATCAGTACATAACAGATACTATACTTCTCGCCCATCGGGCGAGTTATTTTTTCTAATTTCAGATTAGAATTAGAACAGAAGAAAACCCAATATCAAGACCCTTAATCCTAATTTCTAAATAAAGTGTCTGCTCCACCTTAGGCCTGTACATTTGGGAGAATCAAACCCTCCCTTCCCCTGAGATGTAATATTATGAATAGAATAAAACATGCCAATAGATAGAAAACACCAGCTGCACTTTATTTTATTTTGCAAAAAAAATCATTCGCTTTATGAACCTAGCACATATTGAGTAGAACAAATTGCTTGTTCCACAACAACCTTTTGTCAGAAATCGATGTTCTCTATTTGAAATAAAATTATTGTACGAAGGACAAGGTAGTCTAGGTTGAAATGAGCTATTGGCATACATTTTTAGTTTCTAAAAGTTGTATCTATTGGTAAACCATTCACGATGCTCCGTATTCAGCAATAGTATGGTTCAATAGTATTGTCCATGGTTGAGTGATTTTATATTGTATAGAATCGTGTTATGTTCAGTATAATGGTAAGTAATCAATGGTAACATACATACATCTAATATTAATCTAATGCTTATTATCATTATAAACCTATATTATTATATACGACCTCTCTGTCTTAATTAGTATACATATGGTTTTTACCTATTATGTACATTATTAATGTGTTCGATTGACATATCCGGACGTTCTGAAATGGACATAAGCTGTGGAACGGAACCGGGGATTACTTTGTAATCGATTTGTAGATTGTATTTAGTAATTGAAATGACGTTCAGGGTATTATTTGTTCTTGGCATAGGTATCTTGACATCTGTAGTTATACCCCTCTGAAAACTTTAAACTTGGGACATTGAGCACCTTAAATTGGTAATAATTCAACAACTCATCCTGCCTATAAACTGACGTAGAGATACCATCTATATTGGCAGTTGTGATAACAATCCAGAGCAATAATATATGCATAAATTTAAGAATAACAAGAAACTGGCATTAAGGGCATGTATTTTCGTTTTTTGAGTTTTTTAGCTTTTGGGGATTTTTTTTTTTTTTTTTTGGCGTAGGAAAGAAACTACTCCTTATAGTGGTATGGACTAACATATCGTTATTCAATAACTTAAAGTTTCATTAGAAAGTTTAAGTCAAGCTAAACATATCTCATATACTTGAGACACCCTTCAATCTATACCTATTTACCTTGTGAGTAAGTTAATCATACAGTATATGCACATATTGATTCTTTTAAATTTGGAATAAACACATATTTTTGGAATTATGAAATCAAAATATATGCAATCTGTATTCATTTCTTCGTACACGATAGACAATTACTTCCTCTGGATTATTTAAACAATACTTTGATGTATAGTGTCCCCCATATGTAAGCTTTGTAAATGCATCAAGGTTCATGTTCGTACGTAAAGGCGGTATCACACTAAAGAAAACAGTTGCTGTATTCAGACTTGCCAAGATAGGAGTCCCCGACTCAGAAAAAAAAAATTTCCCATTAAATTCCCATCAATTGGATTCTGAATAAAAATAATTTATTCCCACTGTGTCAAAATCTAGGTTTGTTTTTATCGTGTAAATTTATAAACAGTTTTTAGTACAAAATGCGGAAACTTGTATAGTTTATTTATTATAGAAATATTATTATAATATCAAATATTAACACCTATAATGTGATAAACACATAAATATTGTCTTAGAAACACGTGGCATATATATTGCTATTACTCAATTTGATAATTTGGTAGGTACAGTAGTGTACTGGGTGCTAAGACACTAGCAGTTCAATCAGATGATTACATCAGATGCCCTTATCTATCTATCTATCTATCTATCTATCTATCTATCTATCTGTCCTTATCTATCTATCTATCTATCTATCTATCTATCTATCTATCTGTCCTTATCTATCTATGTCTTTATGTTTTGCAGGGATCCATGGTGGCTCAGTGAGGTAGGCGTTTGCTCCCTATCCTGAAGGTTCAGGATTAAATTCTTTCGGATTTTTCAACCCGGTTTCCCCCTGTCAGTGGCGCAGGTAAGAGGGGCTGAAAGCGTCTAGTCGTTCGGATGTGACACGTTAAAGATCCCTTGACAGCTGGAAATAGAAAAAGAGCAGGCTAATGCTGATGTCCTGGAAAAATTTCCCCCAATGTACCTTGCATTAGCCCACACGGTGCAGAAAAGTAGGACATTTCATTTTATATTTTGTATATTTCTATGTATGTAATGTACAGATTGGAAGATTGAAAATCGAAAGAACTAAAACAAATTAACCAAAGCAATTATAATGTATTACACGGGATTTCAAGTCGTTAGACTGCATAAACTTAAAGGGGATAAGAAACTTCAAGGCCCCAAGGGGCATTTTAGAAAAGAATAATAATGGGTCGATCTAACCCATGGGTCCCCTCCCAAAGTCGATCAGCAATGATTTTTTCAAAACTCACTATATCTTAGGTCAACTGAAGAAATATCCAGTCTGAAACAACTTATTCAAGGTTATTAAATTCTCTCTCTAGCTGGAAGGCACGATTTATACACTAGGCTAATAAGAAACATGAAAGTATCAATATATATGAACGTGTGCAATACAATAAAATAACATTATTATAATCTGTTGTATTAAAACGTACATACTCGATTTTCCTCCAAAACCCATGATAATTGCATGTGACGTAATAATGTTTTTATGACGTCACATGGTCGATAAGCCATTAATTATTCAGTATACTATCATATTGCAGAATGCTTTCCACTTTTCACACCAATAATATAGAGATGGTCTATTAATGAGGAGTTGATTTTTATATTGATATTTTGTTCAATATAATTTTCATTATATTTTGTGGCTTAATTGTTTTCAAAATGACACTATTATTTCCTTGTGGGTCATTATATTCAGGATAATGACGTACATGACAATAATTAAGATATTTCATTATCAGTTATGACGTATGTATATACAAAGTGCTTGTCTAAATTGAAAAAAATGACATTTTCTACAGGTGGCTCTTTTAAACATATTCCTGTGAAACATAACATTATATAATGCATCTGGAACATACATAATAATATTGAATTGTAAAAATTGTACATGTAGTCAAACAAATTAAGAGCACCAGTAACGACTAGACTATAGAAGATCGGCAATTCGGTGCAGTGTGCAAAGACCACATATTTTGGTTTAAGACAGGTCATAATATAAATCAAGCAATATATTCTAAATTTGAGTAATCTTACTGATTCAACAAAGTCAATCTTCCAGCTCCAACTCAATTGATTTTATAATTTCGAATTTTCCGTTGTCAAAAGTTGAAAGTTAATTTGATTCATTGGTTGATCGTGATTGCACATCCCATTGATACATTAATAATGAGGATCAATCACACTTGGCCCCAGCTATATCATAAAACAGTTCCAGGACGGCCTCATCTATTATTTATTCATGTTTTAGCAGAACGCCATACTTGATTTACTTGGGAAATGACTTCCAGGGACATGTGGTGGGAGGCATGAGTTACTGGTTAACCCAAATGCCTTACAACAACTGAAATTTAATAAAATTTCCACTCCAATTGCCAACATTTTTCGGCAAAATAAATTCAGAAAGTAAAAGTTGCAACTAATCCTTACAAGTAAAGTTGTAGATAATGAAAGGTAGGGCGTAGCAGTAGCATTCCTGACATTTGAAAAATAGATAATTATATTCAACAGTTCATAACGAAATGGCAAAACATGATTGTTATATATCAGACTTCTTATTGATAGAATATTATTATATACTCTTGTACCTAACAGAGGAACTATATTACGTTTATCAAGGTCTGAGGTATATTTCTACACAAGGACATTGAAAAACCGAACCTGTAACAGCAATGCAAACAACTGACGGAATACTGATATGGTATTTTTTTTATCGGCACTGTATCCATGCAGGATATCATTATTTTGTGTTAAAAGATTTATATTAATTTCTCTGAAAGTTGTTTTTATAATCACTAACCATTCTATGCATTATCGATTGCATTTTAGTATTTAACCCTAAGTCTCTTTTTCGGGAGTTATGCGACATGTGATGTTAGTCTCGTGTCGTGAATCTTGTAGTTACAAAACCATTGGAAAGTGCTGCATTTGTATATGATAATGCCCTTAATTCTCATTATTTGTGTCTCGTGCTGTTCTGTTTGAATCTTGCAATATATCTATCATTTCAACGCATTGAAAATCGTTGAACTTTATTATCTTTCCTTTATGTGTCTTTAATTATGAACCTCTTCTGTTAATTGAACGTTTAGTAAGGTGGTGGATGCAAGGTTCAGAGAAATATTTCTGAGAGATTTGCAATTTACTAATTAATATCAGCTGTAATTTGTATCTTTGTAGTTGCCAATGGACACGGTACTCCTGTACTCCGTTGCCAAGTGATGATGTTATATATTGCCATATGACAATTTGTATTAGAGATTACAGACCGTTGGTGGTAATTAGTGGCTTAGTTAGGCTTATGTTTGTAGTTGTGCGAATGAATTGCCGATATAATCATCGACAAAGGATAATAATTAGAAAAACACACATACACACACATTTATATTTATAAATCAACTTACCCTAACGTTGTCATGGTGACTATAGTATACCAAAAAGCTGCAGGAATACTTGTAAATTTAGTGTTAGTAACGTTCTTTTCTGCATAAAACATAACTGTAGCAAATATGATAATAGCCATTGTTAGCGAAAAGAGCAAAAAGCCGAGCTCACTAGCACAACTCTTGAGTGTGTAACCCAAAATACGTAATCCTTGCGAATGACGGGAAAATTTGAAAATACGGAACACACGAAATACTCGGAGAGTGACGAATGCGCCACTAACGTCATCATTGTCTGTAATGACGAGGCCTATGTAATAAGGTAGAATGGCGACCACATCAATGATAGACATGACACTTCTCATGAATTTACATCTATCTGGAGCGGCATAGGCTCTTAGGAGGTACTCAGCCGTAAAGATCATGACACAGGCTGTATCTAAACAGAAAAAGGCTACGTGAAAACGTACACCACAGGGTGGGTTGACTCTTGTACCTGGTAACACCCCACAGGGAACAGTTTCTATAACATTGGCTATGACAGAAATAGCAATAAAGAAGCCAGTCACGTAATAGAAGACTAATGCAGTTGTACCTATATGTGGGTTTTCGAATGCCCTCCACATTTTTTCGCGTAAATTTCCGGCTGGGTTAGTGTCCCCGGCTTCAGAGTCTTTATCGTCCATTAATCGTTCACAATTCTCTCTTTTTCTATCTTTATAATCTTCAAAGCAACAGTCTCCAATAAGATCAGGCATGATACCAAAAAATGCCAATTCCTCGTCGTATGCACTGATACATTCATGTTTAGGGTAATGTAATTTTCCAGTTCTATAGTAGTTGAGAATATGGCGAAATATATCAGGATCTCGATCAAAAAAGTATTCCTTAATTTCTTCATCATAAAAGAACTCTCTCTCGTTCGAGCCCAGTAAAGTATCCGGATATTTCTCCAAGGTGGTTCGCCAGGTTTCAAATTTCCGTCCACTGACATTGAAGAACAGTTTCTCATCCCCCCTTCTGTGTTCGGTCTTTACCATCGGTGGGGGAAGGGGGTGTTGTGCAATGGGAACCCACCCAATCGCCGATGCCCTAGCAAACGGCAACCAGGCAGCAACCGACGCCATGCTGTTCCCCTTCACTGAGAAAAGCTCTAAATCCTGCGTGAAAACAATTTTGAAGAATTAAGATGTAGAATAGAGAAATAAGGGAGATAGGGCAGAGAACACGTCATGTATAATGTTTAAAAATCGCTGATAATCTGCTAGGATACCATTCGATTCATTGTACCTACATAGGTAAGATATCACCTCATATATAATGATACTGCCTAGAACGAGAAGACGACACTTCCAACCACTCTTTCCTGGATTACATTTACTCGTATAAGATAACAATTTTGTCGCTAACAAAACTACATTATAATCCAAAATAAACAGAACAATATGTTCAATAACACTGCCAGAATATCACAATTTATAAATCCAATTTACACATACTAGTATCCGATTGTTTCACTATAAATTTTCACTCACGTCTTCAGCTATACACAGCCTGCAAGTAGCGCCAAGCTTCACAAAATACCGCCTGTTGAAAAATGCTGGCCGACGCCATTACTAGATGAAGGCGCGCGTGTATGGAGTAAGCGGGTAGAAGTCGGTGTAAACTGTTGGAGGCCGCAATAGGTTGAGTTTATTATCGATCTACAGCGCTATTTAGCCAAGTCGTGAGTGATGTTTGCATAATTAGCATTCTCATATACTGGATTCAGTATAATTCTACCAATATACAATATATATTTAGTGTATATAAAGCCAATGTCGTTCAATTGGGACTAATATCGTATTTTGTTTCTACTGGTGAACGCTCTGTATCAGAATAACAATAGCGCGATTAATTGTGACACATTAACATGGCTCTAGATTTATCTATGCTAGCTTGTATGAAAAGATACCGATCTCTTTGCCGGCTTAACTAGAGGAATTGTAAAGGTCTGAGAATTTAAGTCAGTTTATTCAAGAATCAATAAGACGATTTGTCGTTCCTAAACTAACTCAATCCGTATTCGTTGTCTGAAAAAACAAGTGGACAAATTCACTTACAGCTAAAATTATCTGGTAAAATTTCAATATAACAACGTAATACTTTAACCTAAAACTTATCACGAACAGTTTGGCACTTTAATAAAACGACTAACACGTTTTAAGGAATTACAGCTTCCGCAGATTCTTTAACGTGCACAGCCAGTCGAACGCGGAGCCTTAGTTTATTGTCCCTTTCGAACGACAATATACTATTGTACTATATAGTAAAAGGATAATGGCATCATTCACAGATCTCTGTTTCAGAAGAGCAGTATCGATGAGTATTTTCCGATCATCTCGAATTGTAACTTCTAACTTTCAGTGGAGTTGCCATGGAACACAACTTTTAAATGGTCGTTCCCGAGTGGTAGCATACAGAGTTTGATTGAAAACGACAATAAAAAATCGAAACCAAATTCATGAAATTTTTATGCACACGGGTCGACTTTTCATTTGTCTTATGGAAGTAAATTTAAAATAGTGAAACGCATGGCAACAAATAATTACAATCACGTCAAGGTCCACATTAACATGAATCTATATTGAAATATTTTCATACTTTAGTGAACAGAGGTCCGACTGAAATGTATAAAGAAGCACATACAGGTTTAAAAAACGGTTAAAAAAGCCCAGACAACATAAAGATATTAATATAATATCGAATGAAATTTAAGGATGGATTAAACGTCAGTAATCCAACCGATTATTCATACTTTCACTGAAGGTTGAGATAATAGACATACAACTGTTCCCCTCTGTGGATATCTATCGATATTATTGATATCTCGGATGGTGGGTATAAAAACTAAAGCATTCATGTTGAACTCTCAGGTTTCAACATCTTGCTCCGTGGTCGCCACTTACAGCAGAACTGACCGAGTATTGTAACCCTTATTTTATTATTTATTGTATTTCAAAACAAAACAAAAAATAGATTTATCAATTCCCATGGAAAAATCCTCTGAATGCGGGTTTTAAATATTATAAAAATATTTGAAATCCTATACTCATTTACTCTCTGAAACGTACATGTCTAAAAATGACTTCAGGAGGAGAATGACCCATCTGTCATTTTAACAGTATGGACTACTATCATTATTATTAACAAAATAGTGATAAATAATATATAATGTAAAACAATTATAGATCTATCTATAGTAACACAGATTCGTGTGTTTTTACAGCATGCTAATTATTTATTAGCACACATGTTACTATATTAAAAAGTTCATGTCACAAATCACCAGCTGAATGACAGACGAAAGGTAAAAATCATCAATCAACCAGTATTGTTCTAATTCAGTATTCTTCCTTCAATTTTTTTTAAAAAAAACTTATCACTGAGCGAATTCATTGTAAATAATGTTGATTTTTAATATGCAATTGTACTGCATCTAACCGCGCTGTTAACAGGGGACATGTTGCGTTGGTACTCTCGATCTTTCTAGATATCTTTTTGTGAATCACCATGACATTTTTTCTCCACTTTAAATTAAATAACTTACAAATGTAAAAATTAAACGCTTAATCCTTCTGACTGAACCAGTGCAATTTGTACAAAGGGCGACTAAATATGTACAAGATATGCCTACTAAACCTAAATAATCGAGTTCTTACTTACATGTCCAGATGTCATTGAGACTTTCTTGTCTTTCTCTCGTATAAATTTGAGAATGTTTGATTGCGGTAAGTCTCTGAAAAATTAAATGTAATGGAGCTTTACATCCTACTTGTATTTGGATTTGGCGAATAAAAACGGACAATGTTTTAATTGTTTGTCAAGGTGGTCACGATATAGTATCCTAACCTATGCTGGATCCCAAACCAGGATAGTGAACAAGTGGGTACATTTCATTATCCGTTGATCGATTATAATTGAAGCATTTAATGTGTTCCACAGAATTAAAATTGTTCCGTAAAGGCTTCAAACTAAGACAGAATCTGAACAATGTGAGAATATCTCAACCGTGCCTTCAATTACCGAACACAATATGGGTCAATAATCTGAAAATGAATGTAATTTTCTTCAAATCGTCATCGCGTAATTATTATCTCATACAATTCTATTTTTTAAAGGCAAAGAATTTCATCGATTTATTATCAGAAAATAAACGATGTATTAAATTCATCTGCTCCATGTAGAACTAGAAATAGAAGGGTGCATAATACTGCAATTAATCACATTGGTATAGTGGGGGCGTTACAATCGATTTTTGGCATGAGTGACCTTTTCCAGTGCGATATGGTACCCGATGTTCAGGTAATATATTATGTCATTTGCGAAGTCACCTAATCGAAAATAAATTGAATCTTTCAATGCACCCGAATGCATTTTTCTACATTTCTTCTTGTTCAAATTCATAATTACATAAATGATATTAAAGGCATTGCTGACATTTTGTTGGCATTATATTCCTCAAAGGGACGCTACTCCTTATGATACTAAAATTGATTTGGAATCAATTGATATTACAAGAATGAAGTTGATGATATAGTCATGTTTTCTGTAAGATAATGTGTCAAAATTTGACCAGTCTGCATCTATTACATCAACACAGCGATTTCAAACCAAAATGATTACTGAGCAGTTGTCAACGGTGGGGATCTGCTCTTTTATGTAGGATAACTGGAAAGGTACCTTTGCGACAGCAACGATCTCAAATCTCAAAAGCATAACATCCTATTAAAATCATATTTCTTCTGAAAGTATATACTTAGATCTGAAAGTAGGTGATTGATATACCAACATTTCTACCCATCTTGCAACCGAAAAAAAAATGACTTCAGCGCTGAAACGCAGTATTCTCCAAAACAAAGCATAATTTCTAACTTTCATGTTATAGGCTCCGATATAGCTGAATTGTATGTTAACCTTAATACATTGTACAGACAAGACTAATTGACTTCTGGCATCGTTGCTTTACACGAAGAAGACCCTAAGTGTGATATTATGCCACTTTTGGAATAAACCGACTTAAATACACAATAAATGGCGTTAACTACCTTAATTGGTCCACGGGATTGTGAAAAACTCCATTGCAACAGAAAAATGTTTGGCACATCTTCCAATCACTTTCATGACTCGATCAGTTTAATTTAAAATGTCTATAAGACGAGTGTTTTGTCCTGGTTTAACGCTCTTAGAATAAGATAAAGTACCCGGCGACGTTTAATCATTAACAGAATAGACCTAAACCTAACCCAGACGACTTGCTTTTTAATTCCCTCTGTCTTTAGAGTCAAAGACCTCAAGGATAAATTCTTATTCTTAGTCACTTTTTGAAGAATTTAATTAGTATTTGATGAGAATTTTGAGAGAATACGTAGACAATAAAGTATAATAATATTTTAATTACCTTTGTCAATTTATTTTATTATAATCAATCCTTTTTTTTGTAATTTTGATATTAAGCGTTTTTCAAAAAATAATAGCATATTTATGGATAATTACCAAGTTTTTTTTAAAGTTTAAAATTCTTAAATTTTGTTCATTCTAAGATGTAGTATTCCTTTAATATTGAGTTTTACTTTATTGGTTGATATTTTGTTGGTCAACGATATTATGCTGCTTTTGGTTTCACGTGTCAAAATATTATAAACGTGTCTGTGGTATGCGGGGCCATTTCTTATAATTTCGTTCGATTGACAAATTTCTTTTTTCATATTAGGCACAATAATTAGATATGGGAAAAGCTACTAACATCGCCTGATGCCAAATTTACATTCCAGTGTCATTTGTAGCTTATACCTACCAAGTAAGCCGATGGCAAACCAAAATTGCTTCCGACCATTTGCTCCTCTGTTACAAAAGTTTTACTCAAGAACGTAGGAATTGTCCGGATGAACATAATGATATGTCAGTGAATATGTTGGCGTCGATATAAGATTTACATGAAAAGGTCACAGACGCTTCTAACCTGTATATATAATTTTGAGATGTGAAATTTGTTTCTATTATATTATTATTCTTATATTAAGATTACCATGGGAACTATACCGTCTGTACGTATCGTTGAAATTAGGGCTGATAACGATTGGTGATG